CGTTAGGTATTTAAAGAGGCAACTATATTAAATTTGTACATTATTGTAAGCATTTAAGGACTGAAGACATTTACTGGAGGGGCCGGAGAGATGGCACAGCCAGTGAAACACGCACCATACAAGCGTAAGGACCGGGGTTCAGATGCCTTGCGTCCACATAAAGCTGGGCACGGACACACACACCTACACCCCCCAGGCTGGGGAAGCAGAGGCAAGCAGATCCCTGGAGCGCACAGCCCAGTCAGCCTGGCCAAATCATGAGTTCCAGGTTCAGTGAGAGAGCCTATCTCAAAAACTAATGTGAAGAGCAGCTTGAGGAAGACACCCAGCATCAATCAGCCTCTGGCTATCACAACACACACACACACACACACACACACACACACACACACACACACGGTGGGGGACTATCATATAATTCTATGTGACTACAGATAGCTAATTTCTCTGTCTTTCTGTCATGGTTTTTCCAAAATTCAGCATCTGTTCCGGCTTCCTCCTTGGGACTTTTCCAGCCTCCATCTAGTGTTCCTTCCCAGACCCTCTGCACTGCGTGACTGTTACACCGTCCAGAAGAGCTTCTCCTTCTGGCCTGCAATGTCTCTTGGGACAGAGAGTGCCCTTCTGAGGCCATTGCTACTCAGAAGCTACGTAGCTGTATTCAAAATGAATTTGTTCACTGAACTGATGAACTCTCCCACCTGTGTGATTCATCCCATTGTCTACAGGGATAGTGGGTTGCTTTTCTTCTAATTGTAAATATTGTCTCATAGGAAATACAAAACGGACTCCCAAGGAGAAATAAATTACCTAAGTAAGTCAAGAACCTAAAAGTAGTGCGTATTCTACAATAAATCATAGCAGATGGCTTTCTAATAATAACTTGCTCTCTCTCCTCCCCTTTTCATAATAGGAAATGGGGAGCCATCTTTAAATTCTCTACTCAATAAATGAAAAGAAGAATCAAAGAGCCAATCATGCCTTCTTGAACAAACTGCTAGACCTCATGAGATTAAAATGAGACAGATTAATAAAAGCACATTCCCCCAGGGCTGGAGAGGTGATTCGGTGGTTAAGAGCATCTGCTGCTCTCTCCGAGGACCCAGGTTCCATCCTCAGCACCCATATCAAGTAACTCACAACTGCCTATAATTCTGACTTCAGGAACTTGGACACCTTCATTTGGCCTCCACACACACGAAAATAAATAAATCTATAAAAGTGCTTTTCACAGGTCAAAACTGGCAATTTGGAGGACTGAGAAATGAGAGGTAGAAAGAGCCAATAATCCTAAAGTTTTGTTTTTAGTACAAAAGTATATTGAAAATACCCATTTCTAAAGCATTGTGACGTTTGTGACCAAAGTGCCTGTCTTTGATGTAACATATGTTCATACACTTTTTATCCGGTTGGTTGACATCAGCAGCTTTAAGTGTTGGGCACCTATTATCCCACAGTTTCCACGGCTTAGCTGGGGGCCTCTGGCTCAGGGTTTTTCAAAAGACTGCCATCCTTGTCTGTTAGGGCTGCCCAAGTAAGACGTTAATCTTTAAGTAGAAAATATCAGCCAGGAGATTAATCGGTGCGATAAAACAACAACAACAACACAATAGTGAGACGAGTGAGAAGAAAGGTCAATAATATTCCTGAGTGCAATATTATCTCATTAATAAAACTGAAAATAGTATTGCAAACATTTATGAATCCTCAATACAGGGTTGATTCTGAAGAAGCAGTACCCGTGGGAAGAGCAGAGGGATAGCGCTCCCAAAATGAGTGATATGCAAATCCACTTCACCTGGGCTTTAGGATATGCTGGACCTTATGAATTTAGCCCACCTCCTTGACTTACACCTTCCTCCTGTCAGTAGCCCTGGGGACCCTCAGAATCATAGGTTAAAGAAAAATAGTCAGGCAGTGGCAGTGTGTGCCTTTAATCCTGGCACTTGGGAGGCAGAGGATTCAGAGAGAAACCCTGTCAAGAAGGAAGGAAAGAAGGAAGGAAGGAAGAAAGGAAGGAAGGAAAGAAGGAAGGAAAGAAGGAAGGAAAGAAGGAAAAGACAGAGAATAATTATCCTAATCAACTCCATTCTCCCACTCCTGGCCTCATGTTGGCATAAGGCGTTGCTTTCGCCTCTTTGGTTTTACACTATTCTCTTTACTGGAACCTTGCTTGACCTCCTCCCAAGCTCCCTTCCCCCTCTCACATTTCCCCTCTCCTCTGCCTCCCCTGCCTCCTTGTTCCCCCTTCATCATTTCCCTTTCTATCTATTTGGGTTTCAAACATCCCTGTCATTTTATCTTTTCCTCAGACTGTGTTCAGACTGGATTAGGTTTACAAAAGCTCCTTGAACACTATACTTGCCCTTCAGGGCACGTAACATAGTTGATAATTACGTATTAATTTGTACTAAGTGTTTAAGAGCCATCTTTCCAACTAGTCTACACTCCTCAAGGAGAAGAGACGTGTCTGTCCAAGTTGTAAAGACTTCCCCTTCCTCCAGCACCACCTGGCTCTAAATACTTGATAAACAGACCCCAGGCTCCTCCACCCGGTCCAAGCTCAAACCCTAAGTAGTTACAGAGAAGCCACTGTGGAGGGTTTTGAATAAAAGTTTATAAAATTGGGTTGTTAGCAGGACTGCCAGACCCCAAGTGCTGGCACTGATCACTTTTACTGTTTCGGTTCATGGGAAATCTTGCCCATTGAAGTCATCATGGTACTGTGGTTTGGAGGCTTCTGTCCCTTCTAAATGCCACGTCAAACCTAATCTCCAGTGTACAGTCTTAAAAGGTTCAGTTAGAGGCCGATGAGTGGGTAAAGGGCTTGCTATACAAGCCTGGTGATCTCAGGTTGATCCCCGGAGTCCGCCTGGAAAGCCAGATGCAATTGTGGGCATCTGTAATCGCAACACTTCTATGGCGGTATGGGCAATGGAAACAGGAGCATCGCCTGCAAGCTCACAGGCCAGCTAGCGCCACCTGTGAAAACAAGGCGAACTCATCAGGAATGCTCCTCTCTGCATGGGATTAAGGTTCGTTTTTCTTTGGTAATAGTTCTTTGAGAATTGCGCTTTTACTTTATTTTCATGTTTTCCATGTTGGTACCATGCTGCTCTTGTTATTGCGGCTCTGTAGTATAATCTGAAATTATACTTCGATATCTGGGCTATTGGTACCTCCAGCAGTCTGGTGGTGGTGGTAGTTCACGATTGTTTTGTGTATTCTAGGCCTTTTGTATTACCATATGAAACTGATGGTTACTGCTTTCAGTTTCCGGGGAGAACAGTGTTAGAGTTTTGATGGGGGAAATATTGAATCTGTCGATCGCTTTTGGTAGGACGGCAGATCACATTTCACAGTGTTAGCCCTGCCAATCCATGAGCAGGGGCATCTCTGTCTCATCCTCAGTTTACTTTTCAGTGTCTCAAGGTTTTCGTGGCACAAGTTTGTCACGCGCATGTGAAATTTATTCTCTCTCTCTCTCACACACACAGTAGGAGTTGTGGGTTTGTTTTTGTGGTTGTTGAGGTTACTACGAATCATTCTGTTTCCTTGAGTTCTTTCTTGGTGTGTTTGTCACTTGTATGGATGAAGGCTACTGATCTTTATATTCATTTTATATCCTGCTACTTCCCTGAGTGTGTTTGTAAGCAGTAGCCATTTTCTGGTTGCTGTTAAGGTCTTTTATGTATACAATCATATCATCGGCAAAGAAAGCTGCTTTGACTTCTTCCTTTCCTATCTGTATCTTCTTTATCTCCTCCACCTGTCTTATTGCTGTAGCTAAGAGTTCAAGTACCACGTTGAACAGGAAGGGAAAGAGTAGATATTAGGTTTTGTTCTTGATTTTAGCGGAAATACAATATACAGGGTGATGTTAACTGCAGGCTTCCTGTAGCTTGCCTTTATTATGTTGAGATATATCCTGCGTATCCCTCGTCTCTCCAGGACTTTTTATCATGAATGGATGTTGGATTTTGGCACCAATATTCCTTGGTTCATTCAGGCTGTTATAATGAAGTACTGAAGACTAGCTAACATAAATAATAATAATAAAAAAAAATCACAGGTACTATCAGATAGGTGGTTTTTAAAGGTCTATCCCTGCATCCAAAATGGTGTGGAGCTTGAAGACTATTTCCTTACATGGTGGAAAGAACGGAAGGGCTAAGAGGCTGAGCTGGGCTTCTCATTCGTTCTGGAGGCTCCCCAAACTCCCCACGTCTCCAGTGATCCACTCAAAGTACTCAGGACACTCAACATATATTTGTGACCAAAGCTAAGATATATTCCATCAAAACTGTATACAACTGTGAAGACAGAAATCTTGATCAGTCCATTTGAGGGCTTCTGATGCTCCATCAGGGGACAGACTGAGTGTGCTCTCTAGCCTGCCACTAAAGCATGCAGTAATGTGTCTACAGCCTCCAACTGACTGAAGTCGCAGTGTGATAGTTCAGTGTTTACTGTGGGACATGAGCAGTAGAAACCACCATACTTCCTGGTTTGAATTTTGATTCTTTCCCGGCCTTTACTATATCAAGCAATGCTCCAGCAATGTTGGGCTGCAGCAATGAGTCACAGCTTCCAGGTCGCCTTGTGACCACAAAGGTGGATAAATGGTACTCTGTCATGTACTGCGTGGCTAAGCTCTGGTGTTCAATAGGCTAAGAATACCAAGTGTGGTTTAGCTGTTTTTCTTTTTTCCTTTACAATATTTGAATTTACACTGTGCTTTTGGGGAATGTATCTCCATTATAAGTTGAAGAGAATCTGTGCTTACAATATTTTTAAAGCCCAAGGAAGCCGATTCTAGGATAACACTCAAGGTTTATATTAGGACTAGTGACGGGGAAACCCTTTGCGTGAGAATAACCAAAATGTCAGGTTATGGGAATACTAACCATAGGCGTTTGCTGTGTGTTACCAGAAGATGGGGTGCTCTGTTTCTTATTTTATTTTATTTTATTTCCCTGTGGTGTTATTTTCTCTAACAGGAAGACTTCCCACAGTTTGAGGAGGAATCATGGATTTCAAGAGCGTGAAGGAGTATTTAGCCTGGCTCTACTATCAATACCAAATCATCAGCTGCTGCGCCGTCCTGGAGCCCTGGGAACAGTCTATGTTCAACACCATCTTACTCACCATTGTTGCCATGGTCGTCTACACCGCCTATGTCTTCATCCCCATCCACATCCGCCTGGCCTGGGAATTTTTCTCCAAAATATGCGGATATCACAGTTCAATTTCTAACTGATCTCTCTGGAATCCTGAGAAAGGGCATGACGGGTTCGCGTGGCTTACAGCTTGTCGACCTAGGGGACTGCGGCATCTTTCACCTCTGACCTGACCAGCGCCCTCTCTATGCACCCGCGTCCTGCCTGGAGTCTGAGCTAGGTGTCCTCCCAGTCGCTTTGGTCCATGCAGCATGGTGTGTGTCCGATGATAGGAAACGCAATGACTTCACCCCGTACCCCACATGCGCTCGACTCAACTCCGTGGCGTTAGATTTCTGTTGGAGATCAGGATGCTTTCAAATACAACTTTCCCGGGAAATAGGCTTGTAAGAAACCCGACAGAGTCGTATTTAAAACACTCTCTTCATATTATTCTATACTAAGGGATGCGTTACAGAAAGTATTCTTCATAGGCGACTGTCAAAAGTACCTGCTCTTGTTTACAATCTATTAAAGATGTGAATTTAAAAAAACCCAAACCTTTAAAGTCTTATTTTCTGGTAAATAGCCAATACCCCAAATTATTTTTTTCTTCTTTTTAAAATTTTCTTTATATTGGTTTTGCCTAAAATTCTTTTACTTCAAATGCAAAAAAATAGGCCAGGGACCATTATTTTCTTTTAGGTATGGTTCAGGCATTGTTTCAAATGCCTCTGAAATCTGACTTTATCATAGCTTTAAATGAACTATGATTATTAACTAAACAAGTAAATATTGTACTAGAGAACAGCTTAAGTTTATATATATATATATATATACGTGTATATATATACATATACACACATACATATATATATATACATATATATATATATGTAATCAAAGCCAATTCAGATATTGTGACTTTTGACCATGCCCTGTCTTGCATGATGATGCTGGAGGCGAGAGGAGAGAAAGGGTTGTTTTCCTGTGCCTTCACTAAGTGGAAGGAAAATTGCATGTCCTGGGCTACAGGAAGAAGCTAATAAATAGGCTGGAAGTAATAGTCTACCAGCAGGAAGTCGACAGCTCCACTTAAACGCTTTGATATAGTGGCTCCATTGCACAGCAGAAGCAAGATTTATTAAATTTCTCCCAAAATGTTTATCTTCAAAACAAATGTAAGATTTTAATTATAGTGCTGAATCAAACATGAAAGTCAAAGACCGAGCCTTGCAGCTTTTCTTTCCTCCCGATAAATATCAACTATAGTGCTTCTGGAGGGTAAAAAAAAAAAAAATAACCAGGTTTTGGACAACACTGGCACCTTTGTTTTCGAGGGGAAATATTCCAAGGAGAGCTAAGGAGAAAGATATTTGGCATGCAAAATCAACTTGCACGTCTGTTTAAAAATAAACAAAGCATACATTTTGAAGAGTGACCAGATATGAATATACGCTTGTTGATTTTTCCAAAGTAAAGTTAAGTTTACTTTGATAAATAAACGCACAGTTTGGTCTCGTTTTCCCTTTCTTCACCGTACACTATAGTGCACTCCCCAAATAACCTCTACTGACCTTACCCGGATACTGATCTCAATGGTAGAATAAAGCTATCCTTGGCCAACCGGCTGGTTACTTTCCCTATTGCCGTGATAGAACTCCAGGAGGAGCAGTTTCAGGAGGAAGGGTCTCCAGGCTCCCTGTTGGGGGCACAGCACATGGCAGTGAAGAAGGCATGGCAGCAGGAACATAAGGCAGCGGGTCGCACGGCGGCCACTGTCAGAAGACAGAGAGCAATGAGCGCAGGTGCACAGTCTGTTCTCTCCTTTTCATTCAATCCAAGACCTTAGTCCGAGAAATGGTGTTGCCCATTTCGAGGTGGAGCTTTCAAATTTGGTTCAACCTTTCCAGAAACATCCTCATTGACACACCAGGCACGTTTCCATAGTGATTCTAAATCAAATTGGGTTGACAGTGAAGATTGGCCCTCAATGTTTGGCACGCACTTTACAGGCTGCATGCTGAAGTCGGTAGCCAGGTCTCCCAGTTGCAGGAAAGGAGCCTGGAGCTCAGAAAACTCAAATGTCTTGTTCGAAGGCCGTTGGCTACCAGCAGCATAGCAAGGTGAGGACCATAAGGAAGGCCACGGGAGAATGACGTGAACTATGGGCATCACTGACAAGTTAGAGATCAAATGTCCATCACATGGCAAAAGCAAGGGGACGAACAGACAGCCATGTCTGGAGTCCTAGCCAGTCTTTGCTGTTGTCCTAGGAGGACCTGTTCGCCCAGCCCTCTTGCCGGCTTGGAGAGAGATCGCTTTTACTTTTAGTTAACGGTTGAAGGATGAGCTTGAATGCATTCCCAGTTCGCAGTGATTCAGCACCCTTCTGTAGGTGGCTTCCTGCTGAGTACTTGTAGAGTTCAGTCACAAGGATACCGCTTTGACCTTCAAAGCTATCTTCTAAAAATAAGAGTTAAAGTAAACGCCAATAGACAGAGGAGAAGTTAATAAAGAATTATTACAGAATGCCAGCCTGGGATATCACATCAAAGCAACCATTGTCTCTGAACAATCACAGGTAGTCAATACAGAATACAAAAAGCATACTCATACAGATTTTTTGTTTGTTTGTTTGTTTTAAAGCTACAGAATATGGAGGGGAAGAAAGCCGCATCTGCCTGCCTGCTGCTGCTCCAAGCTTGGCACAGCTTCTTTTTTTGAATTGATTTTATTGAACTCTACATTTTTCTCTCTACATTCCCCTCCTCTTCCTTCTCATTCCCTTCAGCCGGGGTCCCCATGCTCCCAATTTACTCAGGAGATCTTGTGCTTTTCTACTTCCCATGTAGATTACATCCATGTATGTCTCTCTGAGGGTCCTCATTGATATCTAGGTTCTCTGGGATTGTGATTTGTAGGCTAGTTTTCTTTGCTTTATATTTAAAATCCACTTATGATTGAGTATATATTAACTATAGTAAATATTATAGTTGTCTTTCTGTGTCTGAGTTACATCACTCAATATGATGTTTTCTAGATCCATCCATTTGCCTGAAAATTTCAAGATGTCATTGGCTTTTTGTTTATTTGTTTGTTTTTTACTTTGCCATCAGCTGGGACTGGAAACACTGTGTGCTTTCCCTTTGCTTTCTCTATTCAGAGATTTCAATGGTATGCTTAGAATTTAAAACAAGATTCCAGAGGTTTAAGATTCCAGAGGGCTAGTGTTTGTCTTTCATGGAACCAAGACCCATAATGTGTTCTTTCCTCAGTATTGACCAAGGCTATAAATTAATACCCAAACCTGTTCTACCTACTTATATAACAACAACAATAACAACAAACCTATGATATGAAAAATGCCAAGAAACCACTTTTAATATAACATCGTTGATTAGTCTACATTACATGTAAAAAAAATAACTAACATATTTTTTTTTTACTTGCACCTTTTTTTATCACCAACTAATTGGGGTCCTGTAACTTGTGTTCTCCTAGAGAACAGAGTCAGCTTGTTTGTGAATGCCAGGTGGTTGGTACAGGGATTAGCAGGTGCCCACTACCGAGAGCATGATTCAGCTCCCCAAACTCTGTACAAGGAAGCTCAGCCTGTGTATCGGGCCCCTCCGCATGAACAGCTTCCAATTATGGGTCTAAGAGTAACCACCATTCACATGACAGATTCATTAAAAGTTAACCAGGCATCGATGCATAGATAAAAGGAGTTGAGAGGCAAAATAAATAACTAATTTTAAAAAATTACAACAGACGAGGTGACACGCATTCCGGTGTTCGTCAGAAAATCCTGTTATCTTTGAAAATTTGAAAAAAATCTTAGCCTACTGTTTGCCAGCTTTTGAATTAGATAAGGAAGAAATAAACCAATGAGACACACACACACAATGCCACAGCTCTCAGCAGAAAGGGAATCAAAGATGGCTGATCCTGCAGCCAGGTCTGAGTGACTAAGGCCTGAAAAAGCACAAATTTAGGTCACCCCACTTCCTTGTCTTCCAAAGAGGAAGTGGCTTTGTAATACTAGAACAAAGAACGTCATAAATCAAAGCAATTAGAAAAGACACTGGTGAGGCCATCAGAAGAGTGGGTTCAGTCAGGCAGATGAGCCTCAGACGTTACCTGAAAAGATTCTTAGTCCTTTAACTGGCGGAGAATATGGTTTGCACCTAATACATTGTGAGAGTTTTAATCTGTTTATCCGGATGTTAGGTCTGACTTAGAGATGGCCAAAAAATGGCTGTTTGGTAGGCTGAATATCACTCTAGATACACATCAACCGGGCTCAGAAATGGCAACATTCCAAGCTCCCCACAGTCGTTAATGTTGTCGTCGGCCCATTAGCCTCTGTGCACACAGCTTCTTTCCAGGAATTTTTTCCTCTCATAAAAACATCCGAATTTATGCACAAATAAATTTGATGATTGGCAAGAGAACAACTAAGAAACAGTCAAAATACTGAACAAGGCTTTAACCAATATCACCAATTTTGATCGGAGCTCGTGAAAAACCATCAGGGTTCAGAGGAGGAAGCAGCAAAAAGTTGGAGATGGCCAGAGCACAAGGTGAAGGCAGCCAGCGCAGCTATTGTGACTGAGATGCGGAGCCAGACACCCAGGAGGACAGTGAGGACAGACTTAGCAGATGACAGTGGTCAGAGAAGTGGGGGCTGGTGGGTCGGAGCAGGCACAGCACACAACCTTTGCACAGAGGAGCTGGGTGGGGGCGGTGGCTGAGTCAGAACAGCGGATGGTCTGGGATGGTGCCCAGATGAAGCTAGAAACTTGAGGCAATTGCTGTTGCGATGACGCCATTAAACATTACCCCTGTGGTGGTTTGTCAGAAAAGGGTCCCCAGAGGAACAGCACTATTAGGAGGTGTGGACTTGTGGGAGAAAGTGTGTCATTGTAGGGACGAGCTTTGAGGTCTCTTTTGTTCAAGCTTCCCTCAGGGTGACAGTCAGTTGACCTCCTGTTGCCTGCAAGATGTAGGACTCTCAGCTCCAGCACCACATCTGCCTGCATACCGCCATGCTCCCCATCATGATGACAATGGACTGGACCTCTGAAACTGTAAGCCAGCCACCCCAACTAAATGTTTTTCTTATAAATGTTGTCATGGTCATGGTGTCTCCTCATGACAATTAAAATCCTGACTAATCCACCGTGTGACTGTGTGTGTGTGTGTGTGTGTGTGTGTGTGTGATATACACACATGTATATTTATAGACACACAGATAGCTCACACAGGCCTGTGACCCCAGCCCTGACTGGAGACAGCTCAGCAGGTATATATGATAGACATTCATGCAGGGAAAAGCTCCATACACATAGAATAATTTTAAAAAAATTTAAAGAGAAGGAAGAAGAAAGGTTGAGGGTCTGAGGACAACTGAGGATGCAAAGCAAGACCCTTATTACAAAATGTAAATAAAACTCTATGGTTTTTGTCTTTAATTATAAAATATTCTAAGACACAAACGAAATGTAAAACTTCTAGCCAATCCAAAGGCAAGTTCTTCTTCGTTCTGGGATGTTACTTTCTAAACCTGGCTATGAAAAGAGGATACAATCTGTTCTAACGACTGAAGGGGGAGGGGGAAATCGGACTTTTCTTCCCTACTTTTTTAGTTTTTAAACTTTGTCTGGTCAGAAGAGGAAATGCCGATTTCCCAGCATGAAATGGAATCCTTATCTAGACACTTTGCATTATTAAACTGACTAACATATCAATAGCATGGTCTCTCCTGGACTTAAAGAATTCTGGCCCTAGAGCCCATAAGACAGTTCAATAGGTAATGGCACTTGGCCACCAGGCCCGGCGACTAGCGGTTCGTCCTGCGGACGACAGCGCAGAAGACAACCAGCCCCCACAGATTGGCCCTAGCCGCTGCACAGGTGGGTGTATGTGCACACGAGCAAGAGAATGTAAGAAGAATATTTTTAATTATGTTAGCACTCTGTGGAGAGTTTAACAGGCAGGGAGATAGAATTTCAGGACTGGGCCTCCCTTAGACTGCTTCCTGCTTTATTGGGCAGAGAGCAGAAGCCTCATCTGTGGGACAGCTCACAGGCAAGCAGGGCCGCCCACTCTCTATATCTAATCATTGCTCAGAAATAACAAGAAAACAGAAAGCAGCCTCTCACCTTGTTGCAATGACAGAACTTATTTCCAGAGCTTTCTTGCGAGCCTTTGGATGCAATCCAGATGTCTCCCGTTGACGACAGTCACCCTTCTAATTCCTTTGATGGGAATTCAAAATTCAAATTGCTTGTTTCAACACTACTTTTCTGCGTCTTGCTAGTGAAAAGTGCTGACCGAGGTGATACTTTGTCCCAGGAGTCTGAAGGAGCATCAGCGTAGACTAAAAAGAAATAGGACCAGACTTATGTTCCCCACCACCTGGCCCGCCCACCTCCCACGCGCGCATGTGCGCAGGCGCGCACTCAGTCTGGAACTCCCAACCGCAGCTGAGGCAGGTAGATTTCCCAGAGCCCGAGATCCTGATGGTTAGGAATGTAACCGTTGGAAAGAGCTCATAGATCCCATGCATTCATACTTGAATTATTTAAACTCTGAGTAAAGGGCCTGGGGCCGGAGAGGAATGGGGAAGGTAGGAAGAGGAGCAGGCAAGAGGAGGAGGTGGGGAAACGCAAAAAAAGAAGAATGAAGAAAAGGAAAAGGAACCCATTCTTTTTCATCTCTGCGTCCAAAATGGAAAGGTCTAGTGAGTTTCAAAAGACAAACATCCCAAGAGATTCAGCTGAGAGTTCTAACTGCTATTTGTTAGGGAATCCAGAATGGTGCACCTCCTCACTCTGTAACCCTGAATTGAAAAGAGGGAGTCAGCTTTATGAGCAGAAAAGGACTGAAGAAAAGAAAAGCAGAACTAAGACAGAAAGCAGCGTGACTGTCTGAAGGTAATTTTCCTTAAAGGGCAACACAGAAAAGACGTCTCTGCTCGGCCAGGTCAGGCAAGCTGGACCCATTCCAATAGGTCGCTGTGAATTATGGGTTTGGTTTTTCACTCTTACCTAAAGTGGCCCGTTTTAAAGTTCCTATTGATTAATGGCACCTAGCAGAAGAAATTCCATACTGGTTTGGTCTGTCTGCAGGGTATCTTCAGAGGGAGCTCGGCCCAAAACAGTAACTTCCCACGAACTTATTAAACCTAAGCAGACTGTAGCTCTCTGATCGCATCTCCCCAAGAGCTCCCTTGACCACATGGATTTCTCCCTAACAGAAGCCATAACTGAATGTCTTACTTCCTTGTTCGTAATAATGCCTCAATGCCTTTTGTTAAAATAATTCACATTCCCAAAAAACTCCAATAAATCTGAATAAGCAGATAGCTGATGCCTCCACTCCCCAGAGGCTTCTAGTAAGTTTCCCCCACCTCACTCTGTCTTCTAGAGGCTCAACAACTCAGCACCCTCAGGCACAAAAAGGGGTCTGTTTGGGGAGTATCTCATTTCAGATACTCTTCCAGTTTAAAAAATCTATATTATTTTAAATTACAGTGATTCTTAACTTGTAGTTTTCTGCAGTCAGTTTTCCTAGTTGTCGGCAGGACACTGGCCTTTCCCAGAAGTGCTAGAGCATCTCATGACCCTACTGTTCTGGGGAAGGGGATGAGGAATGGTCACAGATGACAACAGATAAATACACAAGATTCCAGTCCTAATAGAGTAGTCAGGGGAGAGAAAACGGACGGCAGCTGGGAGTGGTATCTGGAGTGAGCCAATCTTGTTGCTCCCCGAGTGCGTCTCCGCAGTGAGTAACTTAACGCAGAGGCTTATAACTGGCCTAAGTGCTGAGAATAAGGAACTCCTGAGTGGTACACCTGCAGAGGCCTTTTTTTTTTTATCAACCCCTTCCTGTGAGAGCTGGAGGGTGGGGAAGAATGTTGTGAAATGTTGTCTTCAGACCACCATGGCCGTTGCAGTAGTGAGCGCACTGTAGTTTTGGCTACCTGCTCGTAATCAAGACAAGATCGGCCAGCATTCCAATAGGCAGCACCAGCTGGATTCAGTGTGTGGGAGAGAAAGAAAGAGAGAGAGAGAGAGAGAGAGAGAGAGAGAGAGAGAGAGAGAGAATGAAGGTGAGAAAGGGGTGTGCTGGTGGATTACATGGGCAGAATGGGGATAGATAGGCTCAAGATGTGTGTGTGTGCGTGTGTATGTGTGTGTGTGTGTGTGTGTGTGTGTGTGTGTGCGCGTGTTTGCATGTGTTGTCAAAGTTTTAAAAAGAATGTGCTTGGCTATTAAGAACATGGCTCCCATGCATTCACCTGGGGCTTCGGTATCAATAGACTCTGTGGATCAAGTCCTAAAGCCTCAAACAGCAAGTGCCAAGAAATCGAGAAGAGGGAACTAAAGATTAAAGCATTAACAATGTCCTGTTTCCTAAGTAGGGCTGCAAAGACAAGGGACACGAGAGCACCCAGAAAAGTCCGTGCATGGATTCCAAAGAAAATACTACAAGAGCATTCGAGGATCAGGTGCCACCACAGTGCTTTTCAAAGAAATCAAATTCTTCTTTATTCATGTTAGGCTTTCATAATAAGAAGCTGTTTGTGACTACTATGTGTTGGATACGGCTGAACTGACTATTGAGAAACTCGCATCTCTAAAAGGTAGTAAGAATGGTAAATGCCCTAGGGGGAAAAAACCCTTTGTTAAGTACTTACTAGAGGTGATTTGGATGTCACAGAAGAGTAGAAAAAAGACTAAAAATTCTTCTTGTTGATGTCTTCACAGTAGCACAGGTCTAGCGGACTGGATTAGCATCTGGCCTCTCTCCACTGCACTGAGTGGGAATGCTTCCTTTCTAAACTCTAAGCTGCTGGGGAAGAGCTCTGCTCACAGAATGCTACAACTGAACTGGGAGAGACAGGACCTTTGTTAGAGCTGGTTTTGAAGAGGACATACCTCGTATCAGATGACCCTTCTAACTCACCTGTGAAAATGCTCAATGCTCTCAAACTAAAGAAAGTGTGTTGGCTAGTTTTACGTCAACTTGACGCAAGCTACAGCCATCTGAAGAGAGAGCCTCGGTTGAGAAAATGCCTCTCCATAAGATCGGACTGTAGGCAAGCCTTTGGGGCATTTTCTTAATCCGTGATGGATGTGAGAGGGCCCAACCCCTGAGCTGGTGGTCCTGGATGCTATAAGCAGGCTAACCAAGCCCCGAGGAGCAAGCCAATAAGCAGCAGCCCTCCATGGGCACCGACAGCACCACCTCCTGCCTCCAGGCTCCTACCCTGCTTGAGTTCCTGTACCCACACCCTCTGATGATTAAGATGATGAAGTGAAAGCGAAATCAGCTCTTGCCTCCTCCCTAAGTTGCTTTGGCCACAGTGTTTCATCAGAGCAACAGGAACCCTAACTAAAACAGGATGTAAGCTCCCTCTCTCAGGATGCTTCAGTTCAGAAGGAATTTATGCAGGAGCAGGACCTAAACAACTCCTCACCAGGACAGTGGAGTGGTTAGAGAATCTGCAAAGAACCTAAGAGATCAGGAAGGAAAAAAATCAAAACTCACGAAACATAATTAGTGTCTTGCCAGTCGCCACTGCTTTATTGCACTCTGTTCACTAAAAAGCATTTGCCCCACTTTGATCTGTTCTGTTTTCTTATAAGGGTCTACTCTTTGTTTGTTTGTTTGGAGGTTTTTGAAGGTGGTGGATATGAGACAGGATCTCACACTGTGTAACCTTGGTTACTACAGCTCCTCTGTAACTGGGGCAGCCTCTAAAGCTCTGGCATATAACCCCATAACCAGACTATTGTATATTTTTATAACATATTAGTTCCTTTTCTATTGCTACGATAAGATACCATGACCAAGTCAATTTCTAAAGAAAAGTGTTTATTTGGGGCTTACGTTTTCGGAGGGCGAGTCCATAGCTATCACGGGCAGGGAGCGTGGCAGCAAGAAGGCACGAGGCTGAGAGCTCCCATTACCCCGAGAAACCACCCCGAGGCAGAAGGAGCTAACTGAAAATGACTTGTGCTTCTGAAACCTCAAAGCCCATCATCCCCAGTGACACACCTCCAGCAATCCTTCCCAAATGCCCTGCCAACTGGGGGCCTACTACTCAAATATATTCAACTTAGAGCCTATGAAGGCCATTCTTACTCAAACCACCACATAACATATGACACCCCCTTTTTTTTTTAGATTTAATACTTGATTAATAGGTGCTTGTGGTTTGTTGGCATTTTTGAAAATATCAAGTTGTAAATGTTTATCTCAAATTCAAAATGAAGTTCTTGAATCTCAATTTGACACAATTTAAAAATGTTTCAAGTTTTTTTTTTAACTTTATGACAAAGTTTGTCATTACCCAAAGAGGCATCTTTAGGTAAAAATAACAAAATCATAAAAATCCCCATGCTGTGTAGACAGTGCAGCTAGTTCTACTGTATCAGGTCAGTAGGCAAAAGACAAGGTCTTCAGCTTCAATCTTTGCTCATTTCTTATGACTGGAACTCCGTATGTCGTCTTGTTGGATGACCAGACAGGATGGTGGTAGAGATGGATGAGTCGGCATTGACTCAGTGATAGTTTGTTCTCAACTGGTGGATCAGCTGCATTTGTCTCTTTGCCATCTTATGGCTTTGGGTTCTCTGAGCATCTGCACTGGTAATTGAAGTTGGGGCAATACAGATGTGTTGAGGAAGATGCTGACATGGGGGTCTCATTTTTTTTTTTTTGACTTTCCTTGTTCTCTTCATTGCAGTCCTCTCTTGGAGGAGGATCCCCTGCTGAGTCATTGACTGTAACCCTGTATACGTTGTCTCTCTGGCCTGCCTTACTCTTCTGCACCCTGGTTGTCAGCACCCTTCATCCCTTGCATAGGTGGGTTAAATACTATGGTTAATGCCCTTAGGGTCTCCATAGTAAGGGTTTCTTCGTCTGCGGTGGGCCAGCTCCGTTGCTAGGACTGCCTTCAGACACACTCTCTGATACCTCCTTCTTTCCTCCACTCTTACCACTCTAGTGATTTACTGGCAATTGCTTGGAGGACCCCCTACTGCTTTGGTAGCGATCGTTGCGGTCTGCCGTGTATGTTACTGTTACTGGAACTCCACCAGAGCCTGTAGCGTCTGCTGCCTCCGCACACTCTTCTCCTTTGACATCAAACCCCATCTTGGTCTTTCTAACCACTACACCCCCAAGATACGTCCTGATGTACGAATCTGTCTTCCTTGCCATTGCTGTTGATGAAGCTGACTCTGTGGCATCCCTTACATTGAACCATTGTATTGTTCCCCACTTCTTCTTTGCTATGACCTTCTTGTCTCTGCAGTGGGGTGGGGCTGGGTTACTGCATCTGTGAGGCTGCCGGGGTAGCCGGCGGCCTTGCTGCTGCCTCGGAGTGGGAGCCAGGCTTGGTGACATGGAAGCTGAGGACAGCAACAGCAAGGGGCTGGGGAGGGGTGGGCAGCTTCAAAGCCTGGATCTGGACCTCACTGCTCATGGTTGTGCCCCTGGTGACTAGGGCCTGAAGCAGCAACTCAGGGGTCTCTGGGGTTTCTGGTGTGCATTCTCTGCTCTCAGTAGTGATTGAACTCAAGTATGACACCTTTTAAATTGAATATGCATAATGGTTTGGGGGCATGCGAGTGTCCAGAGGGCAAGGAGGTCAGAGGAGAACTCCTTAGAGTCCTTTCTCTCCTTCCATCTTTATGTGGCTTTTGGGGATCACACTCAGGTTGTCAGACTTGTGTAATCAGTGCCTTTGCCCACTAAGTCATCTCGCTGGCCCAACGTATCACATATTCTTGGGAGCAGTCCTGTACTAAGTTTTAAACAGGCTTCTTGTCCGTACTGGTGGATTCCGGTCTACCCTTTTTCTCACTGATATAAGAGTCCCCACCTCAAACTCTTCTCTTTACTTGGGGGATGGAAATTAAATCTCCCAAACCATGAATATTATTTTTTAAAAAATGTTAAAGGTGATGCTGAACACGCAGAAGTTCTGATAATGACAAGAGAAATGAAACCGAGCCAAGGAGTCTGAGCAGACAGGAGAACTTTAATGGGGAGGAGCTTTTCCTGGGGGCGGGCAGCAGCAGGATCACTACACTGATAGCTATTAGGCAGACCTGGAACAAAAGGAGAAAGAGAGGAGCTGAGGAGCTGATGGCTCAGTGGTTAAGAGTACATAGTACTCTTGCAGAGGACCCAAGTGATGTGGAATTCCCCTCTGTATTCTGTAAGTATGCTTTATTGCCATTGGTAATAAAGAAGCTGTTTTGGCCAATGACTTAACAGAGTATAGCCAGGCAAGCAGGAAATCTGAACAGAGATCTAGAGAGAGAGTAGGCGGAGTCAGAGAGGTGACATGTAGCTGCTGAAGGAGAAGGACATGCCAGAACCTTACCCAGTAAGCCACAGCCCCGTGGTGATACAGATTAGTAGACATGGGTTAATTTAAGATATTAGAGTTAGCCAGGAATATGCCTAAACTATTAGCCAAGCAGTATTGTAATTAATATAGTTTCTGTGTGATTATTTGGGTCCGGAGCAGTTGGGAAATGAGAGAGCAGCCTCTGTCTACAAATGGCATGCCAACATGGGGGCAACTACATCCACATAAAAACTAAGAGAACTTGGGAAAGAATTCTATACACCAAAGAACAGAGTTAAGCACAGCTTCTTGGTAGCCACTTTTTTTCAGATAGACGAGCAGAGGCATGGCTCCTTTAAGAGACGGCCTCTTTGGATGGTTTCTTTAAGATCCAGCTTACTGGTTCATGCTGGCAGCAAGAACTGCTCTGACTCTTTCAGGAGGTCCAGCTATGGCGTCCTTAAATAGGGTTTGTGGGCAGAGTGCTACAAGTGGTCTAATGACAACATAGAGCCACTGCAACCCTGGAGCTGAGTGATGAGCATGGCCCACAGAACTGGCAATGAATGCCCTTCTGCCATGTTGGACTGGGCAGAGCCAAAAGGCAAAGCAGCCTTAGTCCTAGCCACACCACTTAGCATTTTAAGAAAATAATTACAGGTACATAATAAAGACAGATTCAGATGAAAAAGAGCTCTGAATGGACAACAGTGTTGGATAAATGTACCTAGGCTTGGGAGAGAGAGGAAAAGGAGTATAGACAGTTATAAAAAGAAGTGAATAGTTTTAAAAAATAAAGTCTTTAAAGAAACAGTAAAAGAAATACAAAAGAGTATAGACAGTCATAGGTTAAAGGAGTAAAGAAAAAATAAGACACAAAGATGGAAAATATACAGAGTCTATAATATGTGTATTAATGTGTTTTTTTGTATTTTTTGACTGCAGAGAGACACTTGATTCTGGGGGCTGCCAAGTTAAACCAATATACATATTTTAAAGGTATCTTGACTTCAAAATTTGGGATTTTTTACTTTTAAGGATATGTTACTTTGGAAAAGAGGTTCTGCTTTTGTTTCCACAGAGGATGAGAACCTGTGGATTCCTTCCAAGCAAATATGGCTTGATGGAACAAGACCCCCTGAAAAGTCTCTGTGAACCCTAAAAATACTTCACCCACCAAACAGCAGGAAACAGTTTGGAGAAAATAACGCCCAAATCCCTAAAATGATTGTTTATTTAAATGTTTATTTTCACTTAAACAGGGTTGATTATAAATGGTTAAAGGGTCACAGTCAATCTCTTTCTTTAGAAGAAAGATGGGGGAGAGATATGATATAGAAATGAATACTTTGCAATGGTATGGTTCTTGGTCTATTGATACAAATTTAGGGTCAAGTTTGTTATATATATTTCTGTTCTTGTTTAAGGTAATATGTTTAGACAGCTCATTTAAAAATATAATGCGTAATTAAGAAATACAGATTAATAGTCATTTATAATAATCAAACTTGTAGTCATGTTAGGTTTTCTAGATATGCAGAGTTATATTTCAGATGGATAGGGATTCTTCAAATTCTTCAAAGACTTACAGAATATGGTATTTAAAATGTTTTACGAACTTAGTCTTTTCTTGACAGTGAGACACATCTGCTTCTGGCAGCACCAATTACTTCAGAGAGGTTTATGGGCATTGAAGAAACTCGTTATGGAATTTGCCTTCAGTGTGACAAGGCTAGCCATTTGAGCAAGAAACTGTTCTTGCATGGACTGCTTTATGGTATGCTGTATGAACTGGACATGCAGAACCCACAGAAAAGTGACTGCAAACACTGCAAAAGATGGAATGGTTCTTAAAGGTTCCTGTTTCACAGAAGAAACTGCCAGACATTCTGCAGATACAGAATAAAGTGACTGACAAGATAGGTGAAACAGCCTTTCAAATTTCCTGCTTCATGAAAAAGTCTTCCAGATACTATGGGCCTGTAGGCTGAAGATGGATGCCCCAGTGGTACAGAAGAACTTTGGGTGACTGTCCAGGCAGTGAGATGTCTCTGTCAATTCTAAAGTTTTGGAAGTTGCTTACAATGCACTTCCTGTTTACTTAGGTAATAATATATCCTTCTGGAGTTTTTGAAGATTTGAAGACAAATAGTTAAAGGTTTTCCATAGTTATGATAAAAAATAAATGTAAAACTTTAGATTCACAAAGATAGAATAGATGAAAGAATATTTTCCTTAATTTACCAATATAAATGG